ATATTTTGATAATCGAATAATTTATTGTATGGCGCATAGTCCTAATATTATACAACAAGTCTTGTCTGGTTCAGGCTCGAATGATGATATGCCTATAAGTAGGCCATTGTTTAGGTATTTTTAATATGGTATTTACCTTTTATTCATGAATTTAATATCTATGCTTATATAATATATATGCTGCTATAGAAATAGTGATGATTATTTTCCGAATATTTATGAATCACATACATGGCATATTTATGTAAACACAATTAATAGCATATGGACCAGTACAATGCATAGCTTATTAGATTGGTAAGATATTATATTTCATATCATTATTTTCATAACTTATTATATTGCATAGTCTTATTTCATTAATTTCACTATGATGTCAAATATTACCTTTGTTAGGGATATGTTTCAATCACACCATAGATTTGGTGAATATCATGCTGCAGCAAGGGCAATTAGTGGAGGCCCATTGTACATTACAGATATACCAAATAAATATAACTTGGATGTTCTCGAAAAGTGTATAGTCAACATACCAACTTATAAGACGTACAAATCATCGTTAAATTCGTCTTGTAAGACCTCTTCCTCATCAACAAAATTAAGTACAAAATTGCCACAGAGAATTTTAAAAAGCGAAAACCCAGCGTTACCATCACTTCAATCTTTATTTCGGGATTTTACAAAAGTCGATAACTTGTTACAAATATGTAATCGCAACAATAAAATCAAAGTACTTGGTTTATGGAATTGTAGACCTCATATTTTATTGGATTTATTTTATTTAACTGATGTTTATGGCTTAGAAACAAATAATATAGTTGACAAAGGCAATAATCAGAATCATAAAGATTTTATACGTGAATATGCATTATACTTTTTTAAGAATAAACGAGCTCTATTGGTAAATTCAATGAAAGAACCTATTTCAATAATAGTGAGGGCGGAAGAATTTGAAATTGTAACAATTTCACCAATCGATTATTCAACTGGAAAAAGTTATAACAGATATTTCACTATAAAGATTGCATCCTTTGGGTTAATTGATAAATACAATGGGTCTAAAGCAGTGATTTTATCAGAATTTATTAGCGAAAGTGTTAGACAAACAAATTCATTTAATGAAAGTGGAGTAATTTCAGCGGAAAATCGGCAGGGTAGGATATTTTACAAAGTTCAATTGGTTGGATATGGCGAATGTGGATTTTATTTAGATTCAGATAATGGAAGAATATGTGGTACTAAGGCATATTTAGGAAGCAAGTTGTTGAAAAATGTCAAATATGATATTGATAAGAAATTACTTTCAATTGGATTAGATAAGGAAGATATAGAGAACGATGGTCAAAGAACTGAATTCAGAATGTTAAACCATGACATGTTAAAAGTGGAATTGTTTTTGGAGATTATAGTTGAGTAAAACTTAACATTTTTACTGGCGTTGGAAAACACAAAAGATTTAAAGACGAGCTTTTGCAGTTTTATCTTACTAACAAATCTGAAAGTGGGGTTTTTAATTTTGCTTAATTTATAAAATTTGCACTTTACGAAAAAATGGATATCATATACTGTCTGTAACCTTTAAACACTTATACTTTCAAAAATGTAGTCTTTACTAAAAACTATCAATTTGTAATTTTTATTTAATATATAATTTATCAATGTTTTTTCAAAGCGGTTAAAATTAAGTATCATACGATACTGTAGAATAAAAAATTCAATTA